GCCAGGAGCCCTGAACACCTGACCACGTGCTGGGGATACTGCTACTAAATGCAACACTCTCCCGCTACGTCTTCTCAACTAATGATGCCGACAGACACTGTATTGTGTATGTGTGTGTATGTGTGTGTGTATATGTATGTGTGTGTGTATATGTATGTGTGTGTGTCTATGTGTATGTGTGTCAGTGCATGAGGACAGAAAGGAGACAAATTACACCACAGGGTAATACAAAGGAGAGAGAGGCAAAGGAAGTGGCAGGAATAATAAATACATAAAAAGTAAGGAAAGGAAGGAAAATAAAAAGGAAAAGGAAAGGGAGACAAAGGAATCGAATTAAAGGGACAGGAAAGAAAGGGAACAGAAAGAAAATGAAAGGGAATGAAATGAAATGACAAGGAAAAGGTAAAAAACAACAAAAAGGGGGGGGGGGATCAAAGAGAAATGGAAAGGACAGAGAAAGAAAAAGGGAAGGAAGGGAATGGGAAATGAAATGGAAAAAGAAGGATAGCAAAAGAAAGAAAGGGAGAGAAATGAGAGGAAAAGAAAGGAAAATGGAAAATAGAATGAAAATGAAGGGAAAAAAGGAAGGGAAGGGAAATTGAATGGAAAGAAAGAGAATGCAAAATAAGGAAAGGGAAAGGAGAAGAAAAGAAAAGGAAAAGGAATGGAAGGGAAAGGACAAAGGAAAGGTAAGATAATAGGAAATGAAAGAGGAAAGGAAAGAAGAAAGGAACAAGGAAAGAGGACAGGAGAGGAAAGAGGACAGAAAAGGGGAGAGGAAAGGTAAGGAAATGAAAGAAGAAAGGAAAAAGGAAAGAGGACAGGAGAGGAAAGGAAAGGAAAGAGGAGAGGAAATAGAAGAAAAGGAACACAAAAAAAGAAATGAAAGGACAGAGCAAAGGAAGGATAAAGGGAAAAAAAAAAGATAGAAGATAAAGAAAAGGATATAGGAAGTAAAGGGAAATTTTAAAAATGGAAAGTAATGGTATGGAAAGAAAATGAAAGCTGGAAGGAAAAGACAGAAAAGAGAAACAAAGTAAAGTTGTAATGGAGGAAGGAAGAAAAGGAAAGACAAGGAAAGAAAAGCTGTGAGGGAGGAGGGAGGGGGAAGGATCAGAAATATGAAAGTTGGACAATGCTCTTCTTGTAGTGCTCACATGTAACTTTATGTGGCTCTGGCGCTCTCTGGTGGTGATTTGTGATTTCACAATACGGTCCCCTGAAGCCCTCAGATGGGAGAGCGATGGAGAGATGGAGACGCGTTGTGTGCTATGTGGAGGTGTAGTAGACACAGACACATACACACAGCCTGCCACAGACAGAATTTAGGGAAAAGAGCATCTTTCTAAATATTTTGTAATTTGTCTTTGAAGGCCTGCTGTGTGCACAGGATACATTTCTGTGTTCTCCTTCTACTTTGTGTTCCCATTTATTCTTCTACTTTGTGTTCCCATTTATTCTTCTACTTTGTGTTCCCTATTATTCTTCTACTTTGTGTTCCCTATTATTCTTCTACTTTGTGTTCCCTATTAGTCTTCTACTTTGTGTTTCCTATTAGTCTTTTACATTGTGTATTCTGTGTTATCCTTCTTCCCCCCGTCTATCTCTTTGTCTTCCCCGCCAGCGGAGAGAAGAGGATACACAGGGCCATGCTGACGTAGCCTGACTTTCGCAGAGGTTTTAATGAGTGACAGTGCAGGAAACGGGAAGAAGAGACTAAGCCAAGTGCCCAGAAGCGCTTTGTGGGATTGAGGAAGCCAAGTACTTACTGAGGAGATACGATGAGGCCGCGGGGGGGACATGTTAGGAGGGCGACACACACACAACACACCATAAAACAAAATAAAACAAGACAATGTTACAGAGATATGAGATGGGAGGGAAGAGCGTCAAACAATTACAGATAATCGGAGCTGCGGGGGACACAGATCAGTCAGCGAGAAATAGAATGGTGGAATTTCCTGCTAAACTAAGAGCATTCTACGCTCAAGAAACCCAACCACCAATGAGCAGAGGATTTCCCTCCCGGCACCAATCAGAACTAGCTCCAGTCACACTGAATTGAGTGGTTATTTGGGTTACTTTGGACCCGTCCCTGCAGTCATTCGGGGACGTATTATGCTAAATGTTACCCAGTGAATGGTAGGGGGGCACGGTCTTTCAGCCGGCTGGGTGCTGTACATAGCTTCCTGAAGACATCACAGCACCCTGCCTCAAGAGCTGTCATTCCTGAAGCAAGCAGTGGGCTGGCTAGCCAACATTTTAAAAAAAGGAGACAATCCACGTTTAGGAAATGATTGGCTGCACCAAGCCCCGCAGTGTCGGCGGTGTCACCGAGAAGATGGACATGCAGAGGCCAGGCGGTGACCGCACAGCAAAACAGGCAAGAGAGAATTATCCACAATGTAAGGACAAACGTTACCATACTGCTTGTAGATCGGAGGCTTCCGGTACATGTTCACGCCCTGGTCTGCGGAAAGAAAAGAAGGATTTTTTAGCCGGCACCGGAAAACGCCGAGATGCGAATGTAACATCAGCGACTCTGAACGTCGAAATAATACCAAAATCGTCCTACGGCACTACACGTAAAACAAACCGATGAAGATTCATCATCACATATTATTACTGGTAAAGAAGACGCAAGACAGATGGTGACACAGCGGTGGTAACATGAAGCAGAACAGATACGTATCAGCTTTTCTTCAACAAGCATTTTGTTAAGTGACAAATTGCAACTATTTCGAGAGACGACTGGGAGGCAAAATACCATAGAGGTAGGTGGACGAGGTGTGTCGTGATAGAGACGATCACTCCCTGTTAAATCCTTCACTTTTAGGTTTTATGATGAATATTAAAAGGTTTTTACAAGTTTTATAAGCACCTGGGCCGTTCATGGCGGGGAATCCTTTTACAGATGTATACAATGTATCATGTAAATGTAAAATAAGATCTGAATGACTGATGTGAATAAATAAAATGAGCTGAACCCAAGCACTTTAGTAGTAGTATGTGAATAGTGAGAGGATTGGTGCGCTGCTATTGGATGGATATAAACCCAACACATGAAAAATGATGTGATACAAACAAAACAAAGGAAAGAATTAGAATCAAAGATACAAAGTGAACGCCATACAATGTAACGGGCTATGTAACTACTTTGTGTTCCCATTTATTCTTCTACTTTGTGTTCCCATTTATTCTTCTACTTTGTGTTCCCTATTATTCTTCTACTTTGTGTTCCCTATTATTCTTCTACTTTGTGTTCCCTATTAGTCTTCTACTTTGTGTTTCCTATTAGTCTTTTACATTGTGTATTCTGTGTTATCCTTCTTCCCCCCGTCTATCTCTTTGTCTTCCCCGCCAGCGGAGAGAAGAGGATACACAGGGCCATGCTGACGTAGCCTGACTTTCGCAGAGGTTTTAATGAGTGACAGTGCAGGAAACGGGAAGAAGAGACTAAGCCAAGTGCCCAGAAGCGCTTTGTGGGATTGAGGAAGCCAAGTACTTACTGAGGAGATACGATGAGGCCGCGGGGGGGACATGTTAGGAGGGCGACACACACACAACACACCATAAAACAAAATAAAACAAGACAATGTTACAGAGATATGAGATGGGAGGGAAGAGCGTCAAACAATTACAGATAATCGGAGCTGCGGGGGACACAGATCAGTCAGCGAGAAATAGAATGGTGGAATTTCCTGCTAAACTAAGAGCATTCTACGCTCAAGAAACCCAACCACCAATGAGCAGAGGATTTCCCTCCCGGCACCAATCAGAACTAGCTCCAGTCACACTGAATTGAGTGGTTATTTGGGTTACTTTGGACCCGTCCCTGCAGTCATTCGGGGACGTATTATGCTAAATGTTACCCAGTGAATGGTAGGGGGGCACGGTCTTTCAGCCGGCTGGGTGCTGTACATAGCTTCCTGAAGACATCACAGCACCCTGCCTCAAGAGCTGTCATTCCTGAAGCAAGCAGTGGGCTGGCTAGCCAACATTTTAAAAAAAGGAGACAATCCACGTTTAGGAAATGATTGGCTGCACCAAGCCCCGCAGTGTCGGCGGTGTCACCGAGAAGATGGACATGCAGAGGCCAGGCGGTGACCGCACAGCAAAACAGGCAAGAGAGAATTATCCACAATGTAAGGACAAACGTTACCATACTGCTTGTAGATCGGAGGCTTCCGGTACATGTTCACGCCCTGGTCTGCGGAAAGAAAAGAAGGATTTTTTAGCCGGCACCGGAAAACGCCGAGATGCGAATGTAACATCAGCGACTCTGAACGTCGAAATAATACCAAAATCGTCCTACGGCACTACACGTAAAACAAACCGATGAAGATTCATCATCACATATTATTACTGGTAAAGAAGACGCAAGACAGATGGTGACACAGCGGTGGTAACATGAAGCAGAACAGATACGTATCAGCTTTTCTTCAACAAGCATTTTGTTAAGTGACAAATTGCAACTATTTCGAGAGACGACTGGGAGGCAAAATACCATAGAGGTAGGTGGACGAGGTGTGTCGTGATAGAGACGATCACTCCCTGTTAAATCCTTCACTTTTAGGTTTTATGATGAATATTAAAAGGTTTTTACAAGTTTTATAAGCACCTGGGCCGTTCATGGCGGGGAATCCTTTTACAGATGTATACAATGTATCATGTAAATGTAAAATAAGATCTGAATGACTGATGTGAATAAATAAAATGAGCTGAACCCAAGCACTTTAGTAGTAGTATGTGAATAGTGAGAGGATTGGTGCGCTGCTATTGGATGGATATAAACCCAACACATGAAAAATGATGTGATACAAACAAAACAAAGGAAAGAATTAGAATCAAAGATACAAAGTGAACGCCATACAATGTAACGGGCTATGTAACTATGTAACAATGAATGTCGCTTACTAACCATCGATGTCACTTACTAGGTACCTATGCCATGTAATTTACCGCCTACCGAGGTTCATCTGCTTATATTTTGCCTGTGAAATCAGACTAAGCCATTTCAATCCGGTAGAGGAGCAGATACAACTGCAAGACTCAACCTACAGATGTTCTTTCCTCTAAATCCCATTTGTAATATTAAAAAGAAGAAAAAAGAATTCGATCCCAACAAGGTGCTAATATGAGAAAACTTCCACCCACATCACACAGAGATTCCTTGTAGGTGAATCCCGGCTCATCAAGCACTGGAAATGTAAACACCGCCGAAATCTAGAGGTCAGTTGTGGCAGAGGAGGACCAATAGGATCTGTATAGCAGAAGAACACTGCCATGTGATAGGTGGGCATACAGGAAGTCCCACCACCCATCTCTCTTTATGTACTCGGGAAGTCCCAGCGCCCATCCCTCTGTGTGCATACAGGAAGTCCGACCGCCCATCCCTCTGTGTGCATACAGGAAGTCCGACCACCCATCTCTCTTTATGTATTCGGGAAGTCCGACCGCCCATCGCTCTGTGTGCATACAGGAAGTCGCACTGCCCATCCCTCTGTATGCATACAGGAAGTCCCCCTGCCCAGCGCTCTGAATGCATACAGGAAGTCCCACCGCCTATCACTCTGTATGCATACAGGAAGTCCGACCGCCCATCGCTCTGTATGCATACAGGAAGTCCCACCACCTATTGCTCTGTATACATACAGGAAGTCCCACCACCTACCGCTCTGTATGTATACAGGAAGTCCCACCGCCTATCACTCTGTATGCATACAGGAAGTCCGACCGCCCATCGCTCTGTATGCATACAGGAAGTCCCACCACCTATTGCTCTGTATACATACAGGAAGTCCCACCACCTACCGCTCTGTATGTATACAGGAAGTCCCACCGCCTATCACTCTGTATGCATACAGGAAGTCCGACCGCCCATCGCTCTGTATGCATACAGGAAGTCCCACCACCTATTGCTCTGTATACATACAGGAAGTCCCACCACCTACCGCTCTGTATGTATACAGGAAGTCCCACCGCCTATCACTCTGTATGCATACAGGAAGTCCGACCGCCCATCGCTCTGTATGCATACAGGAAGTCCCACCACCTACCGCTCTGTATGTATACAGGAAGTCCCACCACCTATCGCTCTGTGTGCATACAGGAAGTCCCACTACCCATCGCTCTGTATGCATACAGGAAGTCCCACCACCCATTGCTCTGTATGCATTAAAAGCCACAAGAGGGAGCTATTTTCCCCCCCCCCGCCCCCGGCTCTGTAAGGCACAAATCCAGGAGCATCTTCTCTGCTGCACCCATTTCAGGAACAGAAAGGACGCGCTGGAGTCCTGGCATTGCCCTCATGCTGTTCCCATCCAATAGTGTTGCTGTGCTCTGTACGGGGCGTCTAGACTTTTGGACTGGGGAATGAATGGATTTGAGATTGATGTTTCCCTCCACAGATCAATACTCCAGATATAAATGTATTCCAATGCAAAACAAGCAGAAAAGTCTAAGACGGAGCCAACATGATTCGGGGTCCAGAACTCACCCCCATCCTCAGGGCTTTAAGAGAGGAAATACTGTCAGTGAACAAGGCTGGGTCAGAAGATACAATGTCTGTGATATTCTATCCAAATACTAATTGTCGGCAGCTACTTAATATAGTATTACATGTGTTTTTTTTATGCAATCAGTGAATTTTAACTGATTTGCAGTCGCTGTACAACAGAGGTCAGATTGGGGGAGGGAAAAGCAGTAAAAGGAGCCAATCAGTTCATATGATGGCAATGAACATGCTGATAGGAGGAGAAAACAGAGTGACAGAGATGAGCTCATTGCTATGCTGCTTCTCCTTCACATGCCCCCGGTCACAGGCTGGGGGTGAGTCAAGGATGACCTGGGCTCAGGAGAAGTGGGTTAAATGATGGCCATCATGAGGACATTGTGTGGTAGAAAAGCAAGGAGAGCTCTGGACTCAATGTGAATGTCACAACAAAAGCAGTTTTTAAAAAATATTTTAATAGGCTATTCATTTTGATTTAGTTATTTTTAGCTGGAGGACCGCTTGAAATATTTTCCTATGAATTTAGAGAGTAATAGGTGGAGTGCAGTGGCAGATAAATGCAGTTAGACTACTGGGTGCAGGAGAGAGGACAGTGCTGGACATTTACAGCCGTTGGACCTCGGCATTGAGCGAAACGAGGACTGAGACAAGTTCCTCTACTCATCAGCACATGGTCCAGCTAATGGTGACTTTCCCATTCCGGGTGGAGATAATGCTTTACATCTATAGGAAGCCATGCGTAAGTGGGGGTGCCCTGTAAACGCGGGTTCATCCCTACAGGACAGGTCAGCCATGGGATCCCCAACCAACCAGCCTATGCTGCCTGTGCTGCCTTACCCCGAATCATCTGCAATGAGTTAATGTAGTGCAGCGCTATATATTAGGTGGAACTCGATGGACTTGTGTCTTTTTACAACCTGACTAACTATGTAACTATGTAATATACCCCAATACTGAGATATAAAGGAAACAATGTATCTACAACTGCACTCATGTAAATCATGGCTGAGAAAATAATGTGCAGCAGAGAATGTAACAGAGAAAAGATAATGAAAATGTGCATAAAACATAAACATGTGCATACAGGGGAAAGGGGTCACCTCGCTCCAAGCCCCCTGACGCATAGGGCGGAGCCAAAGTGACGCAATCATGCAAAGCAGAGCTCACACTTGGGAAGACGGTGACGGCAGCTTCCTAGAGAAGAGGTGGAGTGGCACTGAGCACCAGAAGTGTCTGTTACATTTACACATTCTGCACTCATTGGAGGTCTCAGAGGAAACGCCAACACAAGGCATTAGCTGTGCGATTGTTACATTTATTTATTATTTTATTTTATTGTTGCGATTATTTATACTCTATGAACAGATTTGTTTTTATATGCATGTCGGTTTGATTCTTCTGCACATGAACTGGACGTACATATTTACAAATATTGTTTTGCTGATTTATAGGAGAGAACACACATAGGAGGATTGGATACATTGTATATATTTTGTGGTATTATGGGATATAAAAGGAGCGCAGGTGCTGTTCTATGTTACATTGTAACACCGGAGTGACAACTGCTTAAAAGGAGAACTATGAGATGAGTGATTTCCACTCACCTCATAGTTCTAGCCGACCTGTGACAATGAGACTGTCACAGGTCGGCTCAGTAGATCGGGAAGTGAGAACACATATCGGCGTTCGCTCACCTCTCGATCCTGTCACAGCTCTCTGCCGTGACAGGGGGAGGGGCTGGATTCCCCCCTCCCCGCTCCGATCCTCCAGCGCTGACTGGCGGAACGGACGGGGGAGGGGGCGGGTACAGCTGGCTCTGCCTCTAGATAGGCAGAGCCAGCTGTCACTCACGCAGCTGGGCGGATCTCGACATCGATGTCGGGATCCGCTCCGGCTGCGGCGTCTCAGTGTACCGCGAGCTGTAGCTCCCTATATACTGAGCCTAGGGTGACGGGAGGACGCTAGTTTGTGTCCTCCCGTTACCCTAAGGAGAACTATGGGGAAAAGCCCTGACCTCATAGTTCTCCTTTAAAGTGCGACTGCAGACAACACTTGTAAAACAATTCTGGATGGAGTGGAGGTGGATTAGACCCCCGTCAGGTTTTACTGCTGTCTGTGTCCCCGTTACAGAGATTCACTCTCTCTATGAGGCTAGGCTCACACTATAGCGATCCGTGACCACGTGGCAATTGTGCACGAACCAGTGCGGATGGTTACACAGTCACGGAATCGCTCACCACCGCCAAACGTGCTGGTGCGCTGGTGATCCCATTATTTTCTAATGGCACCTCAGTTGCTTCGGGCAGGTCCCCGCCGCAATACTGCCCGTGCAATTAAATGCGGTCGCGGCTAAAAAAGCCATGCGTTGTGTGACACAAAGAAAGGTACATGTACTTTTTTTAGCGATTGTCAAGCGGATGTAACCCCGTCGAAATCAGTGGGACCGCACGGCAACAGCTGTGTGCAATTGTGCACGATCGCGCGGTCCCGGGACGCGCGCCCTGGGATCACCGATATCTGAACCTAGCCTTAGTCCTGGTGGCCGTCATCACTGAAAGTGAAAGAAAATCCCAAATTTCGGGTTGTCATCAGAACAGGAATAGATGGGAAATCTTCCAATGGAGACACTAGTTTTGGTGACCATGACAAGGGATTTCCCTCACTTTGGGGGAATTACCACTTCCTGTTGTGGCTATCGGACAGGATGTAAAAGGAAATCTCCCCAATGGGACACATGTGGCAAAAAAAAAAAAAAAAAAGCTGACTAACCCTCCCTTGCTCTTTCCAAAATGTGTGAAAAGTTTTGGCTTCAGTTCCACTTTATTAGTAGTTTGTTAGGTCAGAATAAGCACAGAGGTTTATATACGTTAGTCTGTAATTATTATTATTATTATACAGGATTTATGTAACGTCAACAGATTGCACAGTGCTTAATGAGTCAATGGGGTTCATTTACTAAAGACAAACAGGCTGTTCACTTTGCAAGGGAATGTTCCCTCGGTTTAGTGAATGAGGTGAAGCTCCATCATTCAATTATGTGCAAGCAGAATAGTCTTTGCAAAGGGACTCTTCAACACATTCACCGAGCTAAGGAAACTCCCCCTGCAAAGTGCAAAGTGAACGGCCGGATTCACCCTAATGCATCGGTTCTACAACTCGATCGGAATCCCCAGACACACAGCAAACGAAGACAATGGACACAGACACAACGGACTCTCCTACGGTCTACACTCGGACAGGACGCAGACAGACACAGCCTCCTACCTGGAATATGGAAATGTTTGGTGGCCTGAGAGTATGTAGGCGTTAGCGGCCGATATGGGAGAGGGGAGTTCCTGCCGCTGTTGGGCTCAGTGCCTCCAAAGGGAAAGAAAAAAAACAACAAAAAGAACACAAAAACAAGAGAAAAAAAAAGATGAAAAGAAATGAAAAAGAGAGAGCGGGACATAAGCGGGAGATCAAAATTAAACCGTAAAAAAAAAAAAAAGATACAGAAAATCAAACAGGAAATCAAACGTTAATCAAGCAGGAAGGACGGTCAGAACACGAGTGACTCCATGTTGTACGGAGAGTCAGAGATATGAAAGTTCGGTCATCACCTGAGAGACAAGCGACCCATTCAGCACCATCACCCCATCCCCCGGTGGTGAAAACAGGTCTGGCTGTGTTATTAGGGGCCGTTCTGTACATGTCACCTTCCTACAAAGCACCGACATATGAGAGCGGCTTTCTAAAGTCATGAATCAGTTTCAGGAAAGTAATAAAAAGGAAATCACATCTTATTGATCGAAATTTTAAAACAACCACAAAAACCCTCTTAATCTTAAAAAGACATCCCAGTCCCTAAACTCTGAGCAACAATGTATCTTATTTGTGTATCACTCGGCTGGAGATCCTCCAATCATCTCTGACACTGTCCTTCCTTCTGGAGGGGGGCTACGTCTGTTCCCCATGGTCCCTGTGTGTGTTGTAGAGTAGTCACCGCTCCAAGACCCCCCCCCCCCCCCTACAAGAAGGACAGCGTCAGAGATGATTGGAGGATCTACAGACGAGTGATACACCAATAAGATACATTGTTGCTCAGAGTTCAGGGACTAGGATGGATTTTTAGGATGTAACTCCGGAGTTTTTTTCATTTTATCTGGAGTAGGGAATACTAAACAGGAGTAGACAAGCTCTGGCACCCCAGCTGCAGTGCACCTACAGGTCCCATGAGGCATTGCGAGACTCTGACAGCCACAGGCGTGACTTCCAGAGGCAGACGCATGATGGGGTCTTTCACCACAGCTGGAGTTTGCCTAAAAAGATTCCAGGATGTTATCAAATGTCTAAGTTGTGACACATCCAGTGCAATCCTTCTACCAGCTGAGCTATTAGAGGACTCGTCATTGCTGAAGACCCTCAGCCCCCTACAAAGCAGCAATTAAGGAACTGTTCTAACGGTGCGCTCACAGTGTCTGACCACCGGCCACTACTGAACACAACACTCTGACCTGTCCACTGTAAATGTGAGGAGCCATTCACTAAGGGCTCTTTTTACACATGTGTATGGGGGGTGGTAAGGCAGCCGTTTGAGTTTAAATAGGCTGTGGATGCATCTCAATGCAATTTTGGCAACCCGGTGTACCACAAAGCACACCATGAGGCGCAGACGTCATTCCACCGATAAATAATTATAATGCTTTACTAAAAATGAAATTACTTTTCTAAGTGCTTACATGCTAATGTTCGGTTCTTTATATAATACCGGGTTCGTAATGCAGCGCACATCTGAGGTCCGCTATACCGCAGGTGTGTTTTACGCGTGCTGGATGCCACACGGCAATGCACACACACCCATGTGATACTGCGTGTGGTGGAAAGGAGAGGTAAAATGCATGTTTTACTAGATGTTACCTCATTGCAATATTGTAAATGGGCCCCTTAGGGTTAGGAGGGTGTTTTGGGGGGTGAATTTGATGGATTCATGTCCTTTCATGAGTACGGAGCGCAGTATTGCCTGTTGTGGACGGGTCCATACATTGAGCTCAAGAAGGACAGAGCCTCTAAAGCACAAACCATGCACTGATTACAATGAGAAATATACGAGGTTTTTTGTAAATGCCCAAAGCTGGACAAGTGAGCTCCGTCCACAAACTATTTCAGGGTATACTGCACTGACCGAAATACACCACTGAGGCTGCAAAATGATAGACGCATCCTTCACCACCACACCGTGGGATCAACAGTGTTACAGACCAATGCAACACTCACCAATGACAATTATAAACTTATGGCCTCTATTGTTAACCAAATGTAATAAATATTGGGGAAAAACTTGTTCAGAGTGACCACAATACTGTAAGAGCCTTACAGAGCTAAATAACATGGACAAAAGTCAAAATGAAATATAGGACAATATACAACTTTAGCCACCTTGTATTATTGAGATATACTATATGGCCAAAAGTTCCGGGACACCTGACCATCACACCACTATGGGCCTATGAGCCATGGGCATTAACATGGAGTTGGCCTTCCTATGTGGCCAAATTATCCTCCGCTATTCTGGGAAGACTTTCCACAAGATTTTGGATGGTGTCTGTGAGAATTTGAGCCTATTTGTGAGGTCAGACACTCATTCTGGATGAGAAGACTACTATATACACATTGGACCCCACATAGGGCTCCAAAAAAACCTCCAGCTCCCAATCTGCATTCCCATTCATCTCAAAGGTGTTCAGTAGGGTTGAGGTCAGGGCTCAGTGCAGGACACTCGAGTTCCTCCACACCAGACTGGTCACACCATGTCTTTATGGAGCTGGCTTTGTACGCAGGGGACAGTCATGGGGGAACAGAAAAGGGTCTTCACCAAACTGTGACCACAATGCTGGAAGAACACAATTGTCTACAATGTCTTTGTATGCTGTAGCAAAAACAGTAGCGCTCACTGAGCTCAATCATATGGAGAGGTGTCCACGTACTTTTGGCCTTAGGCCCCATTCACACTTGCATTTGGGCACATGTTTCCACGTTTGCCACGTGTCATTATAGGGCAGCCCAGTGGGGCCCTTTCGGTAGGCATTTTGCCTGCTGTGTTTGAGGTTTTATCACCAAATATTGGCACTGTAAGTGTGAGCAGGGACGAAGGGAGAAATGATGGTTCCATGTCCATGAACTGCTAGCTATAGAGTGTAGGTGGTGATGGACCGGCTGAAACAAAAGGACAACATTGCGTTTGAGGTGCAATTACCCAAAAAGCTGTGCACCTCATCTGAACTTTTAGGAATGCAGGAGCTCCGCACTGTTCAGAAATGTGTAAAGTGACAGGAAACAAAGAAAACTCTTAAAGACACAGTAAGCACGGGGTGCAGAAATGTGCAAACCAACAATGAGAGGCGGGATCTCCAATCCACATGTGAAGTGTGAACGTGTTATATGAACGAAGGAACCGGTAACTCTAAGTGGCCCCAATCATTTCTAAAGATCAGTTGCAGCGTTATAGGACAGTGCAGTCAGATCCTGCCATCTAATGGCGGACCAGATGTTCCAATGGTGTGTACACTGGGATAGTCCAAGCATACATGTTCATACCTATGAAGAAGGGACAGGCGGACAGCATCATTGCACTTGCAGCTAATAACAATGGGCTGCCCTTAGCTTATCTGTAGAAAATAGATCAAAGCAGTTGGACTCGCTGTGTTTTTCTTGGTCATTGCCTTTGCTGGTCATCCGAATTGTGAATTGAGAAAGCTAGCCGGATGACCAGCACAACATCTTCAAGAAGAATACAGCTAGTCCCATTGTCTTGATTTATTTTCTACAGATAAGCTATGACCTGGGTGAATGAGGAACCTTCACAGACATGCCCTTAGCTCAGTGACAAATGCAGAGTTAGATTTTTCACAGGAAAATTTTAAAAAATTTACATGAGGGCGACTTGCATTTCAGGGTTACCGGTCCTTTAAATTCATTTGGGATTTACACATCTCTATTAAAGGTTTGTTCCACCTCAAAACTGACATTTCAGTGCTGAAGAGTTCAACCACCTAACAGGTTCTTATATCTCTTTGAGTTCCCAGCTATGCCTGCCGATATGCCCAATATGAGGCCACCATCTCTGTGCTCAGATCCAAGCTCCGCCCACATGCTGTGCCCATTATCAGGGGTACCCATCATCTCTGTGCTCAGATCCAAGCTCCGCCCACATGCTGTGCCCATTATCAGAGGTACCCATCATCCCTGTGCTCAGATCCAAGCTCCGCCCACATGATGTGCCCATTATGAGGGGCTCCCACCATCCCTGTGCTGAGTTCCCGGGTCTGTACACCTGCTGTGCCCATTATGAGGAGCTCCCCCCATCCCTGTAATGAGTTTCCGGGTCTGTACACCCGCTGTGCCCATTATGAGGGTCTCCCACCATCCCTGTTGGGGTGGGCAGGGACTGAGCCAGGAACTGTACTCGAAGTTCTCACTGTTAGACCTTAAAAGAGATATAAGAAGTCAGCCGGCGGCTCTGCCTATCAGTCGCCACCCATCACTGAAACGCCACGCTTAGGGGGGGAACGACCCTTTAAGCATGCCGTTGATCAAACACACACAGCAGGCGATCATGACAAGCGGTGCAGCCACCATGAAGCGTGCAGCAAGAGAGCGGCCTCAGGGCTCGGACAGCCAACTTATTGGTTTCCCGCCCCAGAGAAGCCAATAAGGCGCAGGGCGCTGGCGTGACCGGTCCGCTTACCTTTGACATGGAGGATCGGGTGATGTCTGAAAGGGGAGTTGGGACGGGAGTCGCTGAGGGTGGAGCTGAAGCTGCCGGTGCGGGTGTACGAGAAGCGCTGCACACCAGTACACAACAGCTCTGGAAAGTGACAGGACGTAAGGAAGCCGGGAGATTACGGACAGAAAACAGGAAAAAGAGACAGACGGAGGAACAGAGAACAGAGTAAAATAAGAGGCAGGTTCGGGAGGAATATGGAGGACGCAAAACTTTTTAAAATCAAATTAAGCAAAAAGTTATATAGCCTGAGAGAGGGAAAGAAACTCAAAAGGTTACAGGGACAAAAGGGTTAAAGCGGCAGCCTCATTAACTCCGACAAAGACAATTTAAAGGCTTTAAAGAAGACCTTGCGCTGTGACCGCATGAAAAACGTGTCCCACGTCTACCCGATAGAGTGACATGTCGTCACCCGCTCTATACATGGCCGGCATTTCCTGTGGATGAGTGTATTCTGGAGCTGACACATCTGAGAAGCCTCAGGGCTGAGCTACATGGGGGCAAGTTGCAATCAACAACATGCAGTGGGCGGGGACAGAATATTTATTATAGAAGAATCCAATAAAAGTGAGATTAATATTTCATTTATTTTACAAATCTAGAGGGACATTTATTTGGGTCAAAATGGTCAAATGTAAACGTTCTCCTTTTTTTTTTTTCTTGCAAGGTCTGCTTTAAAGATAAACTGTAGGCAGCTATAGAACAACAACACCCTGAACACATTCCAATGACAAGCATAACATCATGATTTATGTCCGCAGACCAGAAGTCAGCCTTCATACTGAGCTGCCACACCCACTGAGAGATGAAATCAGGCTTCCAGTAAACGTACCCGCCCTGGTACCTCATGGACGGTAAAGGAGGGAGACTCAACAGTGATTTGATGTTTGGCAGAAGTAGGCGGAGCAGTGACGCACAATCAGTAGTTGGATCTGTATCTGCGTTATCAAAATTAATCGATTAAAAAAATTTTCGATTAATCGAACACGAAAATGTTAATCAGTAACAGCCCTAAAATAGAAATATCTTTACCTGTGTATATAGCTCTGGATATTTCTGGAGTGTTTCCAACTTGCTACAGTCAACAATTTTGTGTATTTCAATAGACAAATAAGCTGCAAATTGTTTGTTCACAAAATACAGAAGAAAATATCCAAACAATGCTCCCGGCCGATGCATACGATCCTAAAGCTGAAGCTTAATCTGTATTTTGCCTTCCCTGGTTCCTCCCCTCCCCCATCAACATGATAATTAAATTTTAAATAAAACGTTTCCATTTTTATGACATACATTATTTTAGATCATGTGGGTCTCTGTGCTGTTCTATACAATGTAGGCAGATCATGGGTAGGTGGGAGGGGCCAGTAGAGTGCTGTACACAGATTCCTGAAAACATCACAGCACTCAGTGTTCCTCTCAAGAGCCCTCAGTCCTGATACAAGCAGTGGGCGGGATCTTGGGAGGAGTTATGCAAATAGTACAATGCCTTGATGGGTGGATGTCAGGAGTGGGTGTTCCTAGGCAGGCTGTATTTGCATGCAGACCGCCCTAGGTAACGCCCACACTTCTGATGCTGAACCTCCATGATTGAAAGAACTGAATGAAAGGGGGCGGGGCCAGGGAGAGGCAGGCTGGGCAGGAAAGGGCTAGATGGTGCTTGATGTCCTCCAGCCAGGAAATGAGGCGGGCTCTATCTGACTCGCTGCAGCTTCTACTGCACGCTGTGAGGAGCATCATTTGGCCGAAATATAACTTTTATAATCAAAATCTTTATTTTTTGGATGAAGCGGGTAAAGGGTTAAAACCACTGTCGGGGGGTTTTAATTGCCGTTCGTGTCCCCACGGCAGAAATTTCACCTTACTTCCCATCAGGACAGGAAGTGATGGTAAACCTCTTCAATGGGGGGCTCAGGCGAAAACACATTTTTAGTAAATCGAGGGAAGGAGCTGGGACTCAAATTCAACAATTTGTAAAAGCACTTAAAATGGGCCACATAGTGCCTGAAGCCTGTGTGAGAGGAGATGCTACGAGACCACTTTAGCATGCCTTCAGTGAAGTAGATGGCAAGTGTGTTTTGCGCTCGCTGAGAGATTTTAGCACGGAATCCCCTCCCCCAGTAAGGTCTCAGGCACCCCCCCCACCCTTCCCCGGGTACTTACCGGGTCTGTGGAAGTGCTGGGGTGAGCGGGAGATGGTGGGAGTGTAGTTATGGCGGCTGTACACAGGAGAGTTGATGGATCCCTGACTGGTAGATCTCTGGATTATCCGTTCCCGTCCATCCTGGTATCCCTAAAACGAGAGAGCACGGTGACCCCAAGACACATAATAAATACAATATACAGATGTGTGACAACCCAACCTGAGGAGCCCCAGAAGAGGTGACACGGAGAGCGGGACACAACTGTCAGAGCGTTAAGAGACCCTGTCATACGCAGAAAACCCCGACATCCTAAATGTGAACTTGCAGTGATCTGCTTTGCCATAAATTATTTTTTATTCACTTGTATCGTCTCTCTGACTTGCTAGACAATTTGACTTCTCCAGGAAGAGTCAGTTCCCTAGCCCAGCCCCCGCCCCCCTTGCATGTCCTCTCCCTCTGAAATGACTGTCCATGTTGGCCCAGCTCCTTCGCCCCTCCCCTCACTTCCCTACATAATCTTTTATGTAGCAGCCAGGACAGGAGTGACACTTGAGAGACAGCGTCTGCTGGGGCTGCTGACATCACTTCTGCCGTATGTCATTGGCAGCGCCCCCCCCCTTGAAACGGACTATAGCCGCCGGGACTCGGTTCACTTGTGTAAAGTTGACTGTTGGCTTTACACTGGAAGTGATTCTGGTGGCTGAGCTGCCGCCAGAGTGCTTACAGAGTCCCCCCCTCCACCGCTCGCCACCACTGACTTGCTTCCCAGGCTCCACTGACCCTCCTGCGGGCCTGGGACCGGCATGACGGGTATCAGCAGGAAGAGAGACCAGCGATCATGCGTTTGCCAATCTCCTCCCCGCTAAAATGGAGCCGGAAGAGACGCTGATTGCATCACTCCCGGCTCCTCAGCTGTCATTCCCCGGCTAAAGAAGCTGAAAAGGAAGCTATTCAAGCACGAGCTGAACCTGAACAGCTTCTTTAAAGGAAAAAGGTGACACTAGGAGTCTAATAGACCCCTAATGTCTCCTTAGGGCCCGTTCACACGATGTCCGTTTTGTGTGCTGACCGGATCCGTACGCTGCTGCACTCAAAATGCATCCCAATGTATCCCTATGTTTTATGGGCTCCAGTTCTCACGTGCGCAGTCCGTTCAGGTTACGACAGAAAAAATACTGCATGTCACATTTTGTACGGTCAGGAAATGGTCTGGAAACGGTCAGGAAACGCAAACGCGTCAAAAACGCATTAAAAATGCACTGCACTGCAGCTAACATACTAACAGCCCCACTCCAGCATCAAACGCATCAAAAACGCGGCCAAAACGCACTGCATCAGTCTGCAGATCCGCACCTGATCAGGACCTGATATCATGTGAACAGGCCCTTAAAGAGAACCTGGGACCACTAATATGCTATCACAGGCAAGAGATTGTAAGTTTCCCTATGTGATAGCAATGAAGTGATAAGAAAAGAAAGTGCAGGTTCATTAAAGGAGAACTATGAGGTCAGTGTTTTTCCCCAAAGTTCTCCTTAGGGTAACGGGAGGACACAAACTAGCGTCCTCCCGTCACCCTAAGCTCAGTATATAGGGAGCTGCAGCTCGAGGTATACTGAGACGCCGCAGCCGGAGCGGATCCCGACATAGACGACGGGATCCTCCCAGCTGCGTGAGTGACAGCTGGCTCTGCCTATCTAGAGGCAGAGCCAGCTGTACCCGCCCCCTCCCCCGTCCGTTCCGCCAGTCAGCGCTGGCAGATCGGAGCGGGGAGAGGGGAATCCAGCCCCTCCCCCTGTCACGGCAGAGAGCCGTGACAGGATCGAGAGGTGAGCGAACGCCGGTATGTGTTCCCTCACCTCCCGATCTACTGAGCCGACCTGTGACAGTCTCATTGTCACAGGTCGGCTAGAACTATGAGGTGAGTGAAAAGCCCCTCCCCCTCATAGTTCTCCTTTAAATGGTACCTTAGAAGCCCAATTAAAATGACGGGGCTTCTGTACAGCAACGCACATAAACACAAGACGCAATGCACTGAAAAGGTGCGACTCCGCCCTCAGTGTTCAGTTACAGAGACGGACAGGGAGAAGCTTGGACTCACCTCCGCAGATGGAGTCGGGGACAGAGTCCTGGGTGACTGCAAGAAACAAAGAAAACATAATATCAGGAAGTGAACACTGCCGTACGGATTGCAGGATTGCCTCTGGGGACCGAGGAGGAGAGAAGAGGAGGAGAGAAGAGGAGGAGAGAAGAGGAGGAGACTAGACGTCGGAGATTAGAAATAAAATCATCAGTTTAAAGTCAGGTCATTTATGAAGGAACATGAAAGATCCCGACTTCCTGCACCCAAATGTTACTAAATATTATCCGGCCCGAGTTCTATACATATCCCTAAAAAAGAAGAGAGCGTCACTCCAGCTGGCCAAACACAATACAATCTGACTGAACAATCCACAACAGTGCAAGAGATTCTCTAAACAGACTACTGACTCCTATCAGGCCAGGTACATCCTTGTCCCATATACCGTGTTCCCCCGAAAGTAAGACCTAGCGCTATCTTCAGGGATTTATGTAATAGAAGACCTACCCCGAAAATAAGACCTAGTTCGGTGGTAGGTCTTATATTACAGAAATCCCTGAAGATAGCGCTAGGTCTTACTTTCGGGGAGCTGTACATATAACAAAATTTTCAATGTCAAGACCGGTGTTGTGTCTCTAACTAACTGAAAACCGGAGCTTCCAGAGAGGCGGGACAGAGGCGGAGTCTCTGTAGATTCATATGCAGCTGAAGGGAGATAGAGCGGTTACGGAAATAGCCGAGCGGCAAAGGGAACACATATCGACGCAGAACAGAATTCGACACAACACCGGCCGCAGCTCTCGCCCCCACACATGCCCGCCCGCACGCCCGATATCTGTACTGACAGCTGCGGCCAGGTAAAAATAAGACTTTCTCCGAAAATAAGACCTAGTGTCTTTTTTCGTGGAAAACAAAATATAAGACAGTGTCTTATTTTCGGGGAAACACGGTAGATACATCAATCAGGAATTCTGAGGCACAATCAAATTGCAATGTGTGTGGCCAGTTTTAGATTAAGTGCAAAGAGCAGAAATGAGGAAACGATACCGGCGATGTGATAATAAAGAGAAAAACAAGTGAAATGTAAAATGATACATAGTTACATAGTATTTGAGGTTGAATAAAGACATTAGTCCATCAAGTCCAACCTATTAGGATCTCATTCTAGGAGTACCCGTACCCCTGTATATTACCTGTACCCCTGTATATTACCTGTACCCCTGTATGTTACCTGTACCCCTGTATAGTACCCGTACCCCTGTATATTACCTGTACCCCTGTATATTACCCGTACCCCTGTATGTTACCCGTACCCCTGTATGTTACCCGTACCCCTGTATATTACCCGTACCCCTGTATGTTACCCGTACCCCTGTATGTTACCCGTACCCCTGTATAGTACCCGTACCCCTGTATGTTACCCGTACCCATGTATATTACCTGTACCCCTGTATGTTACCTGTACCCCTGTATATTACCTGTACCCCTGTATATTACGGTCCCTTAAGAAATCGTCCAAAAGTTTCTTGAACAATTCCACATTATTTGCTGAGATCGCCGCCTGTGGCAGTGAGTTCCAGACCCTAACTGATCTTACTGTGAAGAACCCCCTTCGCCCCTTGTGCTGGATACAAAACAAAACATCAAAGAAAAAGAAAACAGTAACTAAGGTCACACATGTTATATTACATAGATACTTATTATACTGATACATATATACAAGTTCCTATCAGACCCGCAGTGCAAAAGAATGATTACACAGAATATAGTGGGGGTCCAGTGTTGGCCAGAATTACAGAGGAAGCAGATTTGGGAAAAATTAGCAAATAGTATGGACTGGAGGTCCTGATCCCTCTATATAGATCTTTATTATCACTAGAGGGATCCCCAGCAGGAGGAAGGAGGTCCTGATCCCTCTATATAGATCTTTATTATCACTAGAGGGATCCCCAGCAGGAGGAAGGAGGTCCTGATCCCTCTATATAGATCTTTATTATCACTAGAGGGATCGCTAGCAGGAGGAAGGAGGTCCTGGGCTGTTTAACTGATAGACCTGATAAGCAGCCCAATAACACACTCAAAGAAACAAACAAAAATAACAAATGTAAATAAACCTCAAATGTAAAAAGAACAAAGTCAGGCTAATAGGACAAGTTGGTCTTTCCCCTATATCCCTATACAGACACTAGATGGCGCTGTCAGCGTGGATCCTCAGCCCTTATAGCCGGTGTACAGAATGGGAAATCCAGTTTAAAAGTAGAACTCTAGGCATCAAAATACTCCCGGATAATGTACACACTTTAGATTTCTTGATTTCTAGATATGTAACTGCTCTAGTCCTACTATTCTCCTTCCTGTGGTGTGATGGGGGGCATGGGAGCAGTGGCAATGCAGTGACTACATGCCCCAGGTGTCTCTATGTTTCAAGCTACTGTGGCCGTGGCCACTGTGCTGTTTGGGCCAATAGGAAAGACCACTGGCTGCAGGGAGCTGCATCATTCTGACATCCCAATAGTACTGAGAACTACAGGGGGCCATTAAAATGTCAGCTGGCCTTGACAGGAAATGGCTGCTGAGGCTCCATATTGCACAGCCAGAAGTTTCCACAATACTATTGCCACAGGAGAGTACACAAAGTTTCCCGGCATGGAGAACATGGAGCTGTAAAAAGAAGTCCGGACCCCGTCTGCAGCAAAGATACATAACAATAATCCAAACTGCAGAAATGCTTTAAATCTTTATAATTAGTATTTCTCGTGTGGTCAGCCTGCTGTGTATAATATTCTATTGAACACTGAGCCATTAATGAACGGGCAGGAATGCTGAACCACATAGCGGGTATTGTCCCGCGCCATCCGCATGGCCGCCTCCCCCCTGACCGCTCTTATTAATCCAGAACATTACAAATGTCATTGTGTCATCAGCATAATGAAAAGGAATGAATTTTCCAGCGAGAACAAACAGAAAATAAACAGAATGATCACGTCCCGTCCCGTGCTCGGAAGCGGCTGACCCCGGAGAATAGAAATACAGAAAACTTTCTAGGAATCAGATTTTGCGCACAAAATAATTAAACCGCTAATGGCAACAAGTGAGTGAGCACCAGACAGGACGGGAACACGGCTGTTATCACCTGTCTGCCAGAAGGTTCCCTGCGGCATCAACTCAACTTTACATGACAACAAAATTCAATGTAAAGTCCAATCAGTAAAATCTCAGAAGAATTAACATTCAACGTTACATTACAAGTCATTGTCAGACTTTGTAAATCAGAAGATTTCATTAAATTACTCTCCAGTGATCCTGCTATGGAGGTAATTGTCCAGGTGATTCCTGTTATATGGTAACAAACTCCACAATGTATCCTAACAAACTCTACAATGTATCCTAACAAACTCCACAATGTGTCCTAACAAACTACAATGTGTCTTAACAAACTCCTCAATGTATCCTAACAAACTTCACAATGTATCCTAACAAACTCCACAATGTATCCTAACAAACTCCACAATGTATCCTAATATTTCCCAAATGTATTTCTTCCTAACATTTCAAATATAAAACCTCCAGAGATTTTTTTATCCCAACTTACACTCTCGTTGTTTGATGAGGACCTGTCACTTCTGGGGCTCTGTTGGTGAGAGGTGACCGCTTATTAATAACATTTACCCATGTACACATTATTTACTACACAGACTAAACACCGAGAGGCCTGTTTATAAAAGGCTGCAATTCATATTTTGTCCTTTTTATGGATTCTGATGGTTGTGCCTATTTATAAAGCCAATCCAGGGATTGCTGAAACAATGTGAGCAAGGTGAATGTAACCCGCTTTTAGATGGAATTTGCCAGTTTCACTCATTTTCTTGCAGAGAATGACACCAATGACTTACTCTGCCCTAAACCTTGACCCTTTTATTTTTGGTGAAGAGACATCAGAGAAGGAATTTCCTTTAAGGTGACATCAGGGGGTGAATGAAAAAAAGTATATTTTAGTGGCAAAATGAAAATCAGATATTTGGCCAATCTTTATAAAAAGGCCTCTTACTGATACAAATAAAAAAATAATGAATTAAATAAAAAGGAAATTAAAGATTATTCTTCTGGAACCCAAAGCCAGCTGAGGAAGAAATTTCTGCGATTTGCTGCAGTAAAATTGTGAATTAACATGTTTTTATATAATATTGCTTAACCAACATAATGTATATCCAAATTCAGAGTAGAAAGCTGATCACACGTTATGTTCGGTTCATACAATCTCCTTTAAAGCTGAACCATTAGGCCACCATTACATTTACTAACAGCTGTGTAGTGTGGAGACTGGCCTAATTCATCCAGGTTGTATCCGACCTCTACATGGCTGCTGGTAAATCTAGAAGCGATTGGACAATGAGATTGTAATGTGGGTGATGACGTTTAAGACAATCTGTGGTTATCTTTCATGTTGATGTGAAAATGAAAATGTTAAATGAAGTCCACCGACATTCGGCTATTTCGGGGGGGG